TCCCTAACGTTCTGTGATTCTGTGATATGTCTTTCTGTGTACATGCAAGAGGACTCAGTTCTAATTAAGGACCTGATATTGCTCTCTTCTTTTTTGTGTTAATCCTACCAAAGTTTTGCAGAAGCGTATATGACCTGTCTGGAACACGTATCACAGCCCTGAATTATCTATACTCAGGACTGCCAAAATAATGTGGAGGACAATGAAAGACACTGAAAACAGCTGGAAAAGAGACAGGTTTCAAGGGGGAGGGAGTGCAGCGAGAATGAGTGCAGCTACAAATACACACTGGGAAGTATCACTGTGCACTATGTAAACAAGGCGTCAAGGACTGGGCATTCAGCCAGGGCTGGTGTTTGTGTCAAATACATTTGGTTAAGCTGAGGCTTTATCTGCTCATCTTTGACAACTTCCTAGGTAGAAATAAAAATTTCATGAGTATAGGAAGAGCAGTTATTAGAGTAAGAAAATGGAGTAATTCACATTCCATTGATCTACAAAACAGATTTTAACATCCACATTGGTGTGTAAGCATTTACAGCCAGAGACTATTCCACTACTGTACAAACAGTACCAAGATCTATTTTAGCTCTACACAGAGCATGAAAGATGCTATGTAAAAGTCTTGCATGTGCAAATGGGAAACAGAATTTCTTCAGCAGAAGCAGCAAGGAGGTGTGTGCATCTCAATGTCTGCAAGTATCTGCATACATGTGTCGAGTCTCTATGCAAGTATTATTGATAGCGCAAAACAATGAATTGCTAAAATGTGTGCAGTTCGCACATAAACCTTCACATACTCATAACTACTAATTCTTAAATGCCCAAGGCTATGCTCCCCAAGAAGCAGTTCATCTTTCAGCCCCACACTGGATACAGTGATCTGCCTGATGCTGCAGCAGACAAAGCTGAGCATTAGCAATAGACTGATGCAGTCTACAGGCAGCACGTTGCCAGCACCACCCCACTCTGATCTGGATACAGATGTAGAGAGAAGCTTCCAGAACTCTGTTCTACAGTCAATAGTGCTTGCAAAATTTAGTATGTCTCTAGTATGTAAGGTTTTAGGCAAGCTTACATGATTATGGTGCTGCCACCTTTCTGGGAGTCTACTTTAATTAGGTTATTATAAGACCAGAGGAATATCAGCTTTGTGGAATGCATGATTTAATATCAGTGCAGTGAGTCAGAGACTCATGGCATCACCAGATTCTATCTTGGAAGTAACTGGAAATGAAGCAACAAGTGCAAGCACAACTATTTGTCTACACAAGCATTGTCTATTGTCACATTTCAGCTGTAGCCTATTCTTGCAGGAAGCATTTTAAACAATTATTATTATTATTATTATTAACAATATTATTATTGTTAATAATAATAATAATAATAATAATAATAAAATCCCTCTTAAGTTTACTTCCTCTGCTCAAGCGTCCACTTCAATATTGTGTCAGATGGGCTTTGGAAGAGGCTTGCTGCAAATGCTGTTATTAAATGTTCACTGTGGTCAGATGTCCTGGAGACTCTTACTGCACTAACACTTATGAAGTGAGGTGACAAAGCAAATTCACTTTTTTTGCTCAAGCACTTTCGGGTAAATATGTAAGAGCGCATCTACAGTTTCATTAGAAATTGCATACAAAGCACCAGAAAGCAGCCAGGCAGATGTCTGGGAGTGGCACATTCACAAATTAAAAACTATTTACAGTCAAGCAATACTGAACAGCAGAATCAGATTTTTAATTTGAAAAATCTGTCAAGGCACAGACATGACTGATAAATAAATTTATGGCTTTCATCTCATACATTACTGACAGCTCAATTTCCACAGAGTTCCTTGCTCTCCAGTGACAGGCTGCTATACGGAGATGACAGACTAAGAGAAACATCGTACTTTAGCAGATCAGACCCATAGGCTTAGAGGAACACAAACACACGTTTTGCACCATTTACCTTACCTGTCTTATGTCAACTGTCTCAAAGCGCAGCTATTCTGAATACATGATCAAGCTTCTTTCCCTGACATGGCAACATCTTTTTGCTCCAATAAAAATTATTTCTACAGATAATGCCTGTTTTCCCCAGCTACTCTGACAGCAACTAGAGTCTTAGGAAATATGTGCTATTATTTACTTATAAAAGATGTGATGGAGAGCCTTCCACTTACAGTGATTTTTCCCGTGCTAGTTAACAGAAACTGATTAAGAGAATTCTGATGCTAAATCTTCTGTCTAGAGACAGGAAGGCACACGACAAGATTTTGGAGATGAAAGGGAACACCACCAGAAGACACTGCTCAGCCCGGAGTGAGCATACTTGCCCCTCACATAAATTGTATTAAATCTAGTAAGATGCATGTAAGTGTATCAATCATTTGACAACTGAGAATACTTGCAAGGAAGATGTGTATCATTAGCACTGTTTGTATTTAGCATTCTACCCATATCAGATCAGTAAATGCCACTCATATGAAGTTCAGACACGCCTATGTAGGGACTCCAAAACAGAGCTCGGTCAGTTCCCAAGAAATTAATCTGCCTTATCTGGTAGCAATTATCCATAAACAAGTCTAGGAAGATACAAAATTGTTATCTGTATTTCACGCTTGTCAGCATTTTTAAACACACACGTGTATATGTATGTGTATATATATGCAATTGTTTGCTATAGCTAGTTCCTTCTATATCTACGTATCTATATCTATATCTACGTATCTGAGCTGTGCCACTCGATTCTGATGGAACAGAGAAATTGCACAGTGACCCCACTGGAACGTCTTCCCCCAATTACTCATCCTGTGCAGTGCAATACATTTAATTCATTAATATTTGGAAGGTTCTCCTGCTTCAGTCACTTCGACTGATGCTGTTAATGGCAATGAACTATGGAACAGAGTAAATGGTTAGTGACAACATGCTGATACAGCCTTCAATAACACATGCAGCATTAAACAAATGAACAAAAAGAAAGCCTTAGAACTTACTGTCCAAAACTTTATGAAGTACTGCAAGACTGTAGCAGCAACAAACAGACAGTACAGTAAGGAATACATTAAAAACAGGAGGAAGAATTTGTAGTTAGAAAATCCCACACAATTATTCACCCTAGAAGGAGGGGAAAAAGAAAGAGGTTACTATGATATACAAAACATAAAATAAAATAAAAACCCAATACATTCAGCTTTTGCAGAGCATAACGTGTATGATGTCAGTGGTATGTCCAAAACAGTCTGGCACTAGTGCTTCAGAAGCATTTTAAGCTACCATTTTGAATGAAGTCTCTTTCCTCAGGCCAAATGGTCTGGACCCTTTACATACATTTCGCTCCCCATGAAGTTCTACAGCACAAGACACAAGCTGGCAAACGCACGATACAAACAGCCTGCATAGGAAGCGTCTCACACACCATGAAATAACTGCAGTCATCATGGGGATAACGCGAGCCTCTCCCTCCATTTCAGTGGATGTTGCTTTGGTTACAAACCCACCTTCAAGTCAACTGATAGCAGCATTTTTATAGTGATAGCAGATACTTTTACGGACTATGAATACAAACTGCAGAAGAGCAACTGTCCGAGTGGGTCCTATGTATCATCTAGAATCAAGAAATGATTCTCACTGTGTAGTGAGTATCTCCTCTCCTGGTAGCAATACCAAACTAAGAGAAAGGAATGCTTTTTCTCTTGGGTCTTGTTAATGCTAGAGTTTCTCTATATAAGGAAAAACTGCATTATTTGGGCTACTGGGCCTACAACTCTGTGTTGCAACACACATGAGTAACAAGATTTATTTTCACATATTAAGGCCTCAAGAACTTCTGTGCAAATAAAGTCTTACTTCAAAGTTGCATTTTTGAAGCAGCATCTAATTCATTATGTATTGGCATTCATCATTATGTCAATTTTTTAAAAACAAACTTACCATGGACAGTGGTGGTCCATTTTTAATACACATCTGAAAGAGAGAATTTCCAGTAAGTTAAAGCAAAAAATACATTTTCTTTCTAAGACACATATAAGGTATGGCATTCACTTGGAAAGCCTGGCATTCACTTCAACTAAGTCTATCTTAGGGCTATTTTTGCTACCTTTTCTTGTTTGCTGCTTGCTTGTTTTTTAAAGGTAACTGAGGAAAAAAGCAGCACAGTGGGTAGCTTGAATAGTCTACATGCCATTTTCGTCCAGTTCTAGTATCAGGACAGATACTAGACGTTTCAGACACACAGACATTTACTGTTACTTGCTAATAAATTTTATTTTAGCCAAAAGATATGTACTGAGTTCTTCAGTTAACTAGCTTTCCTCAAGCTCAGCCTACTGAGGTCTCACTCATAGCCTCAGTCTTCAATGCTCTCACAGACTTCTCTGGTGATCCGGAGTGATGGTAGAGAATAGCAGTGATGTCTCTGAAATGATTAAGGCATGTAACACTGTCAATCTTTGAAATAAAGATTTTTAGCATTATTAGTGGCAAACATCTGTTTCAAGGCTGCAGAAGCAAAAGAGTTCTATAATAAGCATTTGCTGGTGCTGTTATCTCAGACTTGCCTTTCTTTCAATCGCTGATTTTTAATTTTTTTTAACGTAAGCACTATTTTACAAAGCTACAAAGCACATTTCCTAAAATGTTCTGCCACTTCAGATAATGGAGCTGCAATAATAATATTGCACCAAAAGGAGAAACTTTGTTTTTTCATGAAATTCAGCTACTGAGGGTCTGAGAGAGGAAAAAACAAAGAAACGTGCTGTTAGGAAAGGGCTGACACACTGAAGACGTGAACACACTAAAGTGAGGACTGCAGGAGAGAGAAAATCCATCATTCCAGATTCAGTAACTTACATGTCACATGCAGAACAGTGGTGGCAGCGGTCAGGTTTGATGAGCTGGCATCGATCACAGTATCTGATTGCTGCATTGAAGTGCAAGGGTCAACTCATTAGAACTCATTTAATTTCACAAAGGGTTTTCCCCTTTATACAAACTGAACCTTAGAGAGCTTCCTGCCCTCCCCTGCCACATCAGTTCTCACAGACCTTCGTGTGCCTACTCTCGTATGAGATGTACTTTTGAATTTTTAAAGAAATGTTAACATATTAAAGCATTTTAAACACTTTCATCTATTACTACAGTATTGAGTCTATTTCCATTTACTCTTTGGCTCCCCAGCCTTCCCATCTTTCATCCCCCAGCACTAATCCCCCTTGCTTTCACCTCTGGACAGGGTACTCAGGCCTCCATTGGGAATTTACATTCTTTCAGCAAGCCCACTTTAAGCATTAGCACTCTCTGTCCTCTTCAGCAAATCAGCTCTTCCTCATCTTTCCTGGGTATTTTTAAACAAGCCTTCAGGCTCTTCTCAATGGAAATAAGACATCAGCACAGGCAGTTTGAAAGGAGGAGGAAAGCCAACACCCACAGCTAAACAGACCTGCTAAGAGCTGGCAAGAGCTTCCCAGTCCACCCCAGGAACTTCAAACTGGGATTCCCTGAAAGGGAAGCTGGTATTCAAAAAAGCCAGGTGTCCTTCAATTTTGTTTGGAAAGTCACAGTAAACTTTGGTAACAGTTATTCTGAGTAGTTTATGTTTTTGGAAAACTCTACAGCATTGCTAGTTTCAAGAAAGAGAAACAGATAGATATACATATAAAATGCCAGGTTTTTTTTAAGACTATGCATATGTATAAGACACCAGTTTCACAGATCATTGATATATAAGTTGGAATAAAAATGCCTATACGTAATAAAGGCAAATACAGAAATAGCCCATAACTAGCTTTGTACTGAATTACAGATGGGAATGAAACGACATTTATTTGTTCTTAAATTCTAGCCTTAAGTACGATGTTTCTCCTGCTGCTGAACTGATACAACTCAGAAAAATAAGTTTAAAAGGGGGATATAAATGATTATAAAATTGAGTAAAAAGTTTAATTTTCTCTATTTCTAGCAGTATTTCTTTGCTGTGTTTACTTTTTATAGCCACAATTTGAGATAAATGTTGTCATCTATCTGCATGCTAGAAAAGGATTTAATTTTTTTTATTTCTAATTACTGGCTACATGTTGAGATTCCCCATACAAAAGACTCCAGTTTCCCTTGGGAGGAAAAAAAACAGCCCAAACAAATAACAAAACAAGGTCATGGCCTTTGCAATATGTGTTTAACAGATTGTTCACTCAGTGACATCAAATGAATTTCACTGAATTAAACTAGCAGCTTTCAGAGCACAGAATTATCTTCGTATCTCACCTCTCGATGCTGTTGTCGTGTAGATAGGCAAGTCTTTTGCAGCTCTTCTCAAAATCTCCTGCTGGGCTTCTGGTCTCTCTTCTTTTTCATATTGTTCTTTATCAGCTTTGGACAAGCAGAACTGGGAGGGAGGGAGAAAACAGAAGGAAGGGAAGAGATTAATTACTACATTGTGTTCTAGCTAAGTTCCATGGAAAAGACCCTTGTGCATCTTAATCCTACGTCTTTGGACAACCCCCACCCACCAACCCAAAAAAAACCCCACATGAAGAAAAAAGAATGCTACAGGAAGAAGGAAGGAGATCCTTAAAACTCCGTAACGGTCCTGGGCATATTTTAAAGAAAATAATCTTTATCTCTGTTCCATTATCTGTGGCATTTTCCCTTCAACACAAAGGAAGCCAGAGACTCGGGGGAGTTTTAAGAAGGTGCAACCTCTCCTTTAATTCATGGTAAGTTTACATCTAAGCAATCTGAACAAGAAGGTGCAGCACTCCTCTGCTGCTACAGGGGACTACAGTTCTCTTTTCCCACTGCCTCTCTCTTACTTAGAGAGGGGTACAAGCCAGGGGGAAGGAAGAAGGCAGGGAGGGGGCTTCATGGCTTCAGCACAGAAGTTGAAAGAACTGAACTGGAATTTTCACTTGGGAGTAGACAGCACCATCAGTAAGATGCACTGAAAGCAGCTTCAGCAAAGCCTGCACAGTTTCAGAGAGAGTTACAATTCTGAGTAAAGCATGAGGAGCATTCCTGGTGAAGCCTCACTGAAATGTAAAGCTGTACCAGCAGAGCCTCGAGAGCTTTTACTCAGTTATGAAACACTTAGTTTGGTATCCACTGAAATTCTGAGCTTTACCATTAAGCCCCACAAAACCCAGTGTGCTGACAAGCCCCTGCAGAGTTGGGGCTGAACTTACATTTTCCTTTGGTATTTTTCTGTTGCATAGCACTTTTAAATTCCGACCTTCCCGCATAGACTACAAGAGCCCTTTTATGAGCACATATAGACAACGTATTCATAGTAGTGAGTAGAAACGCTGTGTGCGCAACGGGAACAAAAATGGGCTTAGTATGGTTTAATATGACCATATTTTCCTATGAAGAACATGTATTCAATTAGTTCACATGGATTTTCCTCTCATCCTGTACTTTTTCCTCTTCTGGATTACAGTCAGTTGGCAAGCAACAATGAAGACTCTCCACTTACAGAAAGGAGGAAGCAGTAAGGCATTGCTGCACTGCAATTTCTCTGTCTTATTTCCTAACTCAGAATGCAAATAAGTTGCCTCATATTTCACAGAATCTTGTCAAGTCTCCTGTTACATACAGAATCATCCCACTTATGGAGCCTACCTGCCATTCAAGGGTGGAACATGAAACATAATCCCCCTTCCAATAATCAGAAACTAGAATCAATCTATGCGAAGAGTGAAATTAAAGTTTAACATTTCAGCCAGCACCAAGAGCTCGACCTGATTTTTTAATATCCGTCTCTAAGCTAGATATTTACTCAAAGATGAAAACTGGAGATGCTCACAGCAAACGTTTAAGGCAGATGTGAAGCATCTTTCCAGCAAACAGCAGTGCAATGTGCCTCCCTCCCTATTGCCCTTATGAATCTGCTAGATGACCATATGCCTGCCTCCATGGCCTGCTATCAAGCAGAGGTTGCATTAAACATTAAATATTACTTCTGGATGACATTTCTATGGTAAAACATTAATGCACAGAAAAGGAACTAAACCAGAAGATTTAAAATTTTGACTGGTCCAAGTAACATCATAATATTACTCCAAAAATCCTGGATAGGATTTTGGTTTTCCAAAGAGCTGTATTTCTGTTCTAATTTCAGGAATTAATAGGGCCATGAGACTGCGGTCTCCTTGGACAATGGCAGGATATGTTCAAAGCCATCACAAGTTGCCTGTTGCCACATCGCTAACAGAATTTCCAGTGAGGTGCCAGCAGTTCTTATTGAAAACAGAAAGAGTCCCTTTGTTTCCTTCCTCTCCCTGGATCTTGTATAATGTGGATTGTTCTCTCTCATGACAAACGCTCAGGGATTGCACTAAGACAACAGCAGCTGCAGAATCTTTTTTTAGTTCAATAGTAAGATCACAGGATGCCATTTGTTTTGCAAGAACGGCTAATTTGAATAACTAAAAATATATATGTTTACACTCCCATACAATGGGGAGATTCTGAAGTCAGGTTTTGTTTCCAAGTAAAACCAGCATCAATTACTCACTGGTACATGAACAGAAGGGATTTGCCCAAAGAGGAAAAAGTGGTGGTGGGTTTTTTGTTTGTTTGGTCTTTGCAGGTTTTTTGGTGTGTGTTTGTTGTTGTTGAGGGTTTTTTGTGGGCTCTTTTCCTGTTGTTTTTATTTTTAAAGCTAGCTGTAGAAGAAAATTGTATACAATCTGATCAACCTCCGCACTTGATATAGGAAAGATTCATTACAAGCCATATGACTAGACAATCTCTCTCACTCACTGAGTATGAAAAGCTTGCTACAGCATTAGCGATAGGGTAAGTACTGTCAAAAGAAGTTTTCTATTATTGAAAAATCCAAGCAGACAGAAAAAGTTACTCGGCATTAGCTGTATAAGCAGCTCTAGTTCATACAGCTTTACAAAACCTGGAATAACAGGGTTCCAACCACATTTTAATGAGCTAACCTGCTTAACTTTATCCTTTTCCTGCAGAACCATCCCAGATACAGCCAAAACAAACCACCCTGAAGAGAAGTTTCTTTGAATTTTTAGGTTTCACAATTCAGTATTACTCTTTTTGCTTAGCTAAACAGCAGAACAGTCTTTAGCTTTTTCCACTTTATATTCTGTAGCTTTCTAAGATACAGATCTCTAAGCCATAATTCAGCACTGCAGAGAAGTGTTTGCTTTTCTTTAAAAGCATGGTTTTAGCTCGCTTCCAAAATGTTTAAAGTTGACATTAGCACTGAAAGTCAGTCTTGCCAAAAATGGAGTAAGAATTCAATCCCCACAGAGCAACCAAAACCTCAAACAGTTTAGCTAATTTAAAAGCTTTATAGAATCACGGAAGGGAAGCATTTTAAATCTGGTGCCAGTATTTAATCCTTATATACACACACCTTAGAGAAAACAGAAAACAAAACAATCAGTCTCAGACTTATTGCAATTAAGACTGTTTCAAAACAAAATTTCTTACAGTCATCATGCATGCTTTTGCCATTAGGTAAAGGTCCTTTATGTATTTACTTCTCCACTATCACTAAACCTTAACCCTTGAGTTACTACTAAGTGGTTCAGTCCTCCAGTTTATGAGTATACATTGCATTACTATTTTTTCTTACCCAAATAAAAGCCAAAACTGCCTCTAATGGAAATATAAAAATCTTGTCACTGCATTTAATTTATCAATTTTAAAAATTCCTGGTTTCAAACTACTTCATAGCAAAGCACTGTACATGACTGTCAAACTTGTGATTAATTAAATGCACATTTTGTATAAGGAAATGTCATTACACAAAGTATACAGTATTTTAAGATTAATTTTATAATTTTCATTCATGATACACTGTCATGCTGTTCTATTTTAGATAATGAGAAGCAAAAGGTGAATCATGCTGTACTGCAAACAAGTTTCATCACTGAAAACAGTTCAGCTATTTATAAAAAAGGCACTGACATTTTTCTAACATTATATTTACCTCATTAGAGGGGGATGCAGGAGCTGTGAAAATTGTCTTCCAATAGGACCATACAAACATGAAAAATGACAGATGAAAAACCACAAGGTAGACAACTGCAATAAAATACAAGAGTTCAGTGAATACAGCTGAAAAGAACAAGAAATAAAACCCCTAATATTTGATGAGAGCTAAACTACTACACTACAAATCACCTCATAAAATCAAGTTATATTAAACCCTTTTCCCTGGGTAGAATTAGGTCTCTAGGAGTGCACACTTTAAAAAAAAAAATAAAAATAATAATAATGAAATCACCAAATATGATGGTTGCTATTCCTCAAGGAAATAATATGCTATTGTGTACAATTCCAAAACAGGCTTGGGAGGGAAACAAACCAACCAACCAACCCAAAACAAAACAACAGAAAACCAGAACTAAAGACAGCTTTACCTATGGCATGTCAGTGACAAACCTTTTGGCATAAAGAAGATGCTACAGTTCCATTCCAGATTACAGAACAGTATTTGATAACTGGTGAGGGGTCTGGAGAACAAGCCTTATGAGGAGCGGCTGAGGGAACTGGGGTTGTTTAGCCTGGAGAAGAGAAGGCTGAGGGGAGACCTCATCACCACCTACAACTACCTCAAGGGAGGTTGTAGAGAGGTGGGTGCTGGTCTCTTCTCCCAGGTGATGGAGGACAGAACAAGGGGAAACGGCACCAAGCTGTGCCAAGGGAGGTTCAGGTTAGAGATAAGGAGGAAGTTCTTTACTGAGAGGGTCGTCAGAAGCTGGAACAGGCTGCCCAGTGAGGTGGTGGAGTCACCATCCCTGGATGTGTTTAAGGAGCGGGTAGACGAGGTACTTAAGGATATGGTTTAGGGGGTAGACAGGAACAGCTGGACATGATGATCTCAGAGGTCTTTTCCAACCGAGCGATTCTGTGATTCTGTGTGATTCTGACCTACAGAATTCAACTTAATTTCTATTTCTAATAGAAACAGCTCAGTATTGTGCAATTGTAGGAGGCACTGGTCATCAGTGACAGTAAAAACTCCAAACCAGAGGTTTGGAGAGGACTGCACTTCAAGATGAGAGCTGTCCGCAAGCTAAAAACTGTCTGTTTTTCTTCTTTCAAATTATTTTAGGAATATAATCTGGAAGTGTCCTGCTGTTATAGTCACAGTGGCAATAAAATGTAGGTGGCTTTAATTTATGAATAGGCCTGCGTGATGTGGTTGTTTTAAAAACCAGAGACCCAGACCTTATGACCTAGGAAGCATCTTCCAACCTTGTTTCCTCTAACAGTTTCTTTTACCACTTGTCAAGAGAAAACAGATCAGTTGTGCCAGAACAGCAAGTCTTGGAAAAGAAGTCATGCCAAATATTTACATTATCTTCAGTAATATTATCTTCAGTTGGAGGAAGAAGGAAATTTGACCTACTTCCCCATGCTCATAAAGAGTCCTTTAAGAAGCCATATGACAGACTCCATGGATGGCAGAACAGGCTCGAAACTTTGGGAACTTCCAACAGCTCAGAAAATGCATGTGCACAGTCGCAGAAGATGTGGTCTTAATTTATTGTCTTTCAGGATTTTCATTGCTTATTGCAGGAAAAAAAAACCATTATACTTTCTACCTTTGCCTTTGACTCCTCCAACCTCACAGACAGGTTTGGTGAATTTTCAGCTGTGGAGCTGACTGAAAATGCAAGAAGCAAAACCTTTTTCTAAAGCCATCCTAAAATTGTCATCCTGATGGGAAAGAACTGACGTATCACTGTACTTGGCACTGCGTAATTAAAAATTGTCTTTTATTAAAAACATACTATACATGTTCAAACATAATGCAGTTAAGCAATTAAAGGATGAGAAAACAGCTTGGCAAAGAGCAGAAACAGACACAAAATTGAGTGGAATCAGCTGCACAGATCAGAGCCTTGGCAGGGAAGGGGTGGGAGGAGCTGAATAGAAGGAAAGAGGAAATGAGATACAGGGGAGGGCAGGGCATAGCAAAAGTAACGCGCAGAGTAAACAGCTCTGTTCTGTCCATAAAAAAAATCACCCCCAGAATTCAGATTCTTTTGAAGGATTATCTTTAGTGCACAGAAAATACTTCAAGCAGCAGAACCTCAAAGTCTTGTCACAGGCTGTAAATGCCCCACACAGAGAGAGAGGCACCAAGAGCACAGATCTGTGCCCGCGCTACCACTACTTACTAGAAAGAGGCAGCTCTTCAAATGCTTTTGCACTTGTGCAGTAACTGAGACCTTGCAATCTGCCACCACCATTAAAAACCAAGGGCCTGTCCTCAGCAGCCAAACTGGGGCAACCCACAGCAGCGCAAAGCTGATGGGCACCATCCAGTCTCCAGAAGAAGGACCTGTAATTAGCAGTCCTTACTGGCCCCACATTGAATCAGTTCTTGCTGCTTTTCCCACTCCTGTGTTGCCATTTCTACTGCCATTACAGGTGTCTGTCCTGTCAGTGCTCCCCCAGAAATGAGAGGGAGGTAAGATACCATTTTGCGTAGTAGCATCTCCTCTGCAGACTGCTCCCTGAAGCATCTTGCATCAGTTTCCAGTACAAATACAAACCAGCTTCATTCCTATTGAGCTTCTTTTCTTGTCATAACAAGCTACATGGAAAATATGTCACAAACCTCAACCCCCAGTGTGTGCCAGTTTAGCCAGACTCGGAGTTAGGAGGAAGTCCTGGCTAAGCAAAGGGAATCCAGGACTCTTGGTGCCATGTTGTGACCAAGTGAAGTCACTCCTTTTTAAAGGCACTGATGCATAATAGACCATAATTTATACCCTCAGGAGGACAATGTCTTAAGACATGCTCTTAGCATCCTCCTAAAATATGTTAAGTCACCCTGAGATCTGCTCTTAACATCCTTTTCTAAATCATTCTTAACACTACTTCCAAGAGAGAGACAGATTACAGAGAGGTAATAATACATAGCAGAAGTACATTGTTAAGAGAGATTCAGAGTTCACCTTATTCCCTCATCCTAATGGATATAAATCTAGACAAGAATATGAAATTACAAAGAAACAATTAGCCTTAATGGGGTGAAGAAATTGACACTAATTTAATCCAAAGTTGTAATTAAGTACTGGAATAAAAGGGTTTGAACATAGTACACGGAAATACAGAGCAAAATATATTTGCTAAGATGAACATGACTGATTTACATAGCAATGTTACTGGTATGTTGTCCTTTTGTCAATTCTGATGTTATTTGCTGGCTATTGCAAGTTAGCTTATAAGAACTTTATAAAACTTATGATAGCTTTCATTTCAAATGAAAAAAAGACTTCACATCTTATTTTAAGATCAACCTCCGTGGTGAAGAAATTCATGTATCCAGGATGCCTGTAACAGTTTTTAGATCTGAAGGTGCAAAAAGCATGCAGGTGAAAGCTATTAAAAGCCTAACAGTCAGGTTCCAAGGATACTGTCAGTCTCCTTAATTAATCGAGCATTTTTCTCCTCTGGTAGATTTCCATATTGAACAGCTTAAAGTTTATTTTGGAGGTTTTCCC